GAGAATCATAAAAAACTTTGCAAGTTTGAAAGTTCGGAATGTGCCTTATTTTATACAGTATATATAATTATAAATAAATATTAATAATTAATAATATATAATTTATTATTTAATACAGCTAATAGCACTTCAGTAAAAACTATTTTAAATAACTAAACGTTTCTATTAAAAAATGTAACTAATGTATTCCTTTTGAAAGCGGCAAAACGTACTTGCACCAGGGCGGCAAACCTATGCGCGAGGGCCCTGCAAATCATTTATGAGGAAATTGAAGGAAGAGGTTGTCAGTTGAAACATGATGGTTTCCTTATCATTCTACATCAACCAATATGTCCATGTCTTACGTAGGACTCGAACCCACAGCGTGAATATAACGCATTTATGGACGCCTGTCTGAAGTATCTACGTCATCACAAACGAAATAAGTCGTTTCAAATCAAGAACCAATGGTTTTATTTCCTATTCTGACTCGTACCTATAAACATTTAGTCATTATTTTCGGCGTTGTTAATTACTATGTACATGCAAGACATGAATAAACAGCCCAAATCCGAGCAACATACAATAATTTTATTTTATGTGTTGAATATAATAATCTTAGAAATGATAATTCAAATTTGTCTTCATTTTGATCATTTTGTTTGAAATTATCAACTACGATATTCATCGACATTGTGGTTTCTCCTGAGTTACTACACTGTCCTTGAACACGTTGAATCATTATTCTTAAAACTTCCTCCTAATATGAAATTGTGAGAAAATATACGTATGCCTTCAAACTAATCATTACGTTTATTTTTCAGCAAATTTTCGTCAGGGACTACAGCATTCTCCTGACATTTGCTTATACTTCCGAAAACATCTCCTAATTTGAAGTACTACTGCCATTGGGACTCTGATACCAAGATGTGTTTCACAGTCCTACTGAGTTCATGGATTATTCTGCATGGAGCCCAGATTGGCGTATCTGCTACGAGGCACGTGAATAACCATGAATCAGTATTAGATCTCTCTCTCTTCATACTCAAAAATGGAAGCGATAATGCAGTAAGCGGAGATGAAGTTCGGTGGTCACTTGATGTGCTGAGTGCAAATTTACAAAATGTAGGCACCTTTGGGGTTTGCAACAATGACACAGCGTACAACTGCCTCGTATCATATAAGGTATGGTATCGTTTTAAATATTAATGTTTCTGTTAACATAATAATGATAATTTTATTTAAGATTTCTATTCTAGAAAAATCAATAATTGTTCAAAATAAAGAGAACTAACATCATATTAAATTGTGATTTTTCTTTTCTAAAAAGTACAAACATGGTTTAATTTAATAATTTTAATTTCAAACTTTTGCATGAAAAACTATACCTTTTAAAGACTTGACATTAGCGTTTTATTTAATAATATACAATGAGGAAGTAGGCGACGAACAATAATTTTAGTGAAAGAAAAGGAGAAATAATTCAATAACTTGAGCGTGAGTGGTGACGATGGCATATCATAAGTATCCTTCAATAGAAATAGTGCTGGGTAGTTAGTTCACCAAAAAATTAGCTACTATTAGCGAAGATTCAAAATAACACTGCGATAATATTTGATACCACTTTTGGAAGGAAATCACAGTCTTTATAAGAAGAAATTTAAACAGAACTTTAAAAATGAGGGAGACACCTTATTTTTTTTAGGTAAAGTCGCATCAACAGCTAGGTATTAGCGACCACTATTTCATTTAACGGTATGGTAACTGTTAAGATGACATGACATGGTGTTGATAGGGGGTGAAAGACGAACACAAATACATCCATGCCCACGCGATCCTTGATCGCTACGGGAGGGGGGGGGCTTAACGATCTCGGCCATCCAGACCTGCAGATACGTTACTTGTCCGCCATAGCTCAAGAGACGTAGTTCCTAATTCACTTGAGTAAAAAAGATCTATTAGATCTCATTTTACATAGAGATTTTATTTTTATGCAACTTTTATATAATATTTTGGTTATTTTAAAAATACAAAATGTGAGTAAAACATGTCGGTAACTGACTAACGGTAATGACTGTTAACTTGGTAGGTGCTATTACTGGTAGTGGAATGCAGGAGCGTTCAAACATGTGACGGTAAAGCAGAATGTGCATATGTTCCTTCAATTTAAAAAAAAAGGAAAAGCAATATTCAATTGAGTCTGAAATAAAAATAATAGGTTTTCTCATCTCCAGAGACCGGATTTTTTTATGTAATTACATATTTTTGTCTTTCTACTTACCGTTCTCAAAACTGAAATCTTGGCGAATCGTCGCCATCTTAACACAATATCCAATTTTTTCGTTACATATTTTTACATATGTAGTACTCTATTACATATTTTACGTATTTTGGTATTTTTACTTAATATTTTTTAATCTATGATCTTTCTTCAATTTGATTACACCTTTGTATGAAAAAAGTATTTTCACAAAATCAGAATTTTTTCATACGTAATTACTAAGTGCTGTCGAATCGACACGCGCTTCGTTAAGACGCGGTTGGATGCTCTGACAGTCCGGCGCGCCTGCTTCAGTTACCATAGTGGCGGGAAGTGCGCGTTACCGACTGAGATCATTTTCATCTTAAGTATCACTAAAGATCACGACTACTTTCGTGATCTTTATCCTTAATTTCCGAGAAGCTTTGGCGATCGCCGACGTGTAACAATTCAATGAGAATGCTGCACGCACGTTGTTTGCTGGCCGTGTATATCGCCAGTTTGTACGAGGGCTTCTATGGCTAGCCTGTTTTGTTATAATTTGTGTATTTTAATATTACATATTATATCCAATTTTACATATTTAGTACATACTCTTACTGTTTTCATTACATATTTATGTACATATTTTAACTTTCATGCTACATATTTTTCCGGTCTCTACTCATCTCAATGAAATGAACATTTGTTAAGGTCAAAACCGAGTTTCACAAAGTGTTATGTAATATTTCTATCAGTTTCAAATTGAATATATGTTGTCTATCTCGGTATTTCATTAGATACTATTCGTTTCGTGAATGCTAACTTCCAATATGGTCGATTTTTACAATTTCCCGCGTGAAGGTTTGTGATAGACATTACACTTCTGTCACAATCTTCTCAAATTCCTCCCGAACAGAAATTCTCAAACTTCATGAATATTGTACTCCTCACATTAAGCTAATATTTTTATGTATTCGCATGATGGAATATATCGAAATGGCACATTTTTTTAAATTTTATCTAAATTTTTACTGCAATTTCTAGTTTATCGAAATAGTAGCATACTTTAAAATTTACTTAGTAAATAATTACATTAAGAAAAAATGTTGGCACTAAAAAATAATCTGTATGAAAATTTTAATTCAATTGAAGGCTGTAAATTAATGACAAAATATTTTTAAATTACTGGTTTCGACGCGTTATTTAAATTATTGTGAAAATGCATTATTCATTGTTTATGCATAGAATCTAAAGTATGATATATCTACTACTTAAATGTTACTTATAATTTTCACCATTTTGGACGCGTTTACGTTTTAATTATACTTTTCATTGTTAAATGTTACCAAAGCTGCAAATAATAATGGTCGCTAATGACTTTGACGTGCAAGAAAGCTCAGTTAAATGAGTTTTCAGTTAAATGATTAATTTCTTCTGCAAACCCACGCATAATGTTATTCACATATTCGCTACAAGTACCACAGTTTCAGTAATCCTACGTTTTCAACATCTCTGATCCGATACCCAGACTATCATCTCCTTGCACCAAACCTTCTTCTACATTTGGCTTCGAGAGAGACAAATATTGAAGTGACATTCTTCCTTCTGTTGGGCTATTTCCTTATTTTCCACATTCTCTAATAATAAAGGAATGGCTTGTTCTTAATATGCTATGTTTTTTATAAAATTCAGGTCTCTAAGTAAGAGTAATATTGTGGATTTCGTTCCTTTTTTGATTTCTTTGCTCCTAAGTCTTTAATGTTATTTTATTTTCGATTACCCTCCAAAAGAAGATTCTGACAAGGGGATTCGCACGGTGTTCCCTTAAACGCAATCCCTACACGAGGACTGAATTGTTATTTATAAAAACGTCTATTATAAATTGGTATAAAACAGAAACAAAAATTATTTGACCCAAGGAGAATATTTATTAATGGATTTTTCGTTTTGTTAAATAGTAGTTTCTTCTTGTTAACTCTTTTGGAATGGTATAGCTTACCCTTTGGGATTAAATTATTTTTTTCGATTACTTTATACTTTATCTACTACCCTATATAGTTTCAGGATGTATTAATTGAAACATAATCAGTCAAAAAATAATTCAGGAGAGGTTTTCGATAGCTATGTCAATTCATATTTGTAGTCAAAATGCATTCTTTTATGTTAATTCATTTTCATAACAAATTCTACATTAATAGAATGGTGACGTAATATTTAAATTTTGCAACGAAAAAATACAATAAGTACTTTAAAATTATGAACCATTTTAAAAGTCTCCTAGTGTCATCTTGAATTTTATCTTATTCTAATTTAGAGACATTGAAACCTTTACTTTCAAACTGTTTTCAAGAAACACTCGAAGTTATTGAATTATTTTTACTTTCCTTTTCAGCGTTTCACTCAAAGACATTCTACGGCAAGATTTCACAACATAATTGAAGTCATTAATAGGATAAATTCGATAAACGTATTGTTGCGCAATATTGCGTAGAGGGGAGGGGGATTAGGCTTAGGCTGAAGAACGTCGCATATTTCACGATTTAAATGTGGATTTTTTACTTGTGTGACTGACATTGGATAATGCGACTGATTGGGTATATCGTCAAAAGATTGATTACAATTAAATACGTATATTTCAATCAAAACCAAAATATGAATTCAAAATTTACAAGAAAATATAATGATAACACTATTCTAAGAAAGCTAATGTATTTCTAACATTAAGTTCTTGTATTTGGATATCCGGTCTTAACTTGAATTGTTCATTAGTGTCCCACAGATTCAACTTGGAATTCGACTGAATATCATCATGACAATAACAATGAGTGTTTTTTGCTGATACCCACCAATGATCCAATTACTGATCAAGATGACAATAATTCAGAAAAGCCCTCGCATTCTGAAGGTAACATTTAGCCTACAAGTTTTTAAAACATTTGAAAAAATAGAGTGCGTTCAGAGTCTCTTCGCGGTTTTTTCCTCGCCAAATAAAGTACTGCCTTTTATACGGAAATGACATCGCTGTTTTGCACTGTGTCAAAGTCCTTCTTTTATATTCTCGTCGCCCAGTGCAACTGCAGACACACGGGTTGCCACAGGGACAACGCAATAATTCAAGGCCTGTTCTTTTAAGACAGACAGCTTCTCAAGACCTGTCTCAGAGGCTTGACGCCATCGTTCGTCCAACGTGGCGGGCTTGTCTCACGTTGTTGGCAAAGCATACGCCTGTCTTGTTTTCGCATTATTAATTACTGGATAACATACTTGTACAATCTCATTCAGCTTGTTCTCGGGAACACGCAGCGAACTCCCTTCGATTCATAACCGACATCGCAATTTGAGTGCGCCAACAAAGTAGAAGAGGGAGAGGGGGTGAGGAAGGAAGTGGCTCTCACGATGCCCTATGCGATTTTACGGCCTCGATGGTCTGACCCCAAGTCGATGGGCTGGTATGAACTAGAGCGAAGGCATTGGTTTTCTGATTCGGCTTGCAACGGCACCATTTCCGGACAAAAGGGAGAGAAGTGGCTTAGCGGTCACTGCGGAGAGACTCTTAGAACGCTTTTTATAATCAAGCAACGATCTGATACAAGAAAACGAAGTAGTAAAACTCAGGAGCGGTCTTGTCCCTTATCGTAGTCCTATTCACGAATTGACTCCCAGCGTCGTGAGATCGGTGAACGGAAGCGAAGAACGTGTGGCAAAAATGAGAGCATTTTGTTTCGTAGTTCAAATGATAATGTTTTAATTTAAAAAAGAAAAAAATCACATAAGATTCTTTGGGTAGACCTGCTTTATGTTAATCGCGGGGAGACTACATGTTTTATGCTTATAATCGCGAAAGGCCGAGGACCAGAGCCTCGTCATGAACTTGGACATTCGTAACGAAGCATCAACTCCACCTTCAATGTTTGTTACAAATTCGACGCCATTCCACCCGTGAGTCCGTGTTATAGTTCACCATGTTCTCGCGAATGTGAGTCTATTCTTTCACGTGGGGTATGATAAGGGATAAACCTCTTAAGAGAATTGTTATAATAGTAAATTAATTTGTTTTATCCAGCATGTTTCTTTCACTTTTTCTGGATGCTTTTAATTTAGGCATTTCAACTTTGTTTCAGTGTGGGGATTTGGAATGCTGTCGGTTGGTATCATAAGCTTATCTGGACTCTTCGGTGGATTATTCTGGCCATTAATGAGCTCCAAATATTATGATCATGCAATGCGAATGCTCATTGGTTTAGCAGTAGGTACTTTAACTGCAACTTCTGCAATGCAGTTAATTCCTCAAGTGAGTCTCCTTTTGGTTTTGAAATTTTCAAAACTACATGTAAAACCTCAATTTAACTATTTGATTGTTTTTGCAGGGATTTGGTATGAAAGAAACAGACGTTGATTCATACATTCAAACATCTGTGATAATGCTTGGCAGTATTTGGTCTCTATACATGTTTGAAATATGCTGTAAAATATTTTTTCATTCAGGAAATGTAAGAAAATGTTGAAAACTAAAAGTATGGCAAATGATATGCTACAAAGTAGGTACATTTTGTTCATATTTTTAACAATAATACTTCTATTACAGAAAACTGACAGTGATGTAGAAATGTCAGCACAGAAACTGAGTACAGTGAATGAAGAAAATATAAAACAAAAAACACTGGAACAAGAGGGACTGCTTCCTACAATAGTGACTGATAGTACAAATAGAAAACCTTCATTGAAACCATACTTTTCATCAAATACATCACTGAGTAAAGCTATACCTGAAAAAGTACATAAAATACTCCTTTACTGCCTAATTAATAACAATTAGAGTCCTTCAGATTCTACTGCATAATAACCATATCCATGTCTATCATATTTTCCTGCTTCCTTTAGTTAAAATATTTTACCCAAAATCTTCACTGACAATACCAATATGAATTTGGTAATTCATAGATTTTTCTGCTATTTGTAATGGATTTCAATGATTAAATGCCATTCATTTTTCACTTCCAATTTCATCACACAATAATTTTATTATTTTTCATGGACATCATAGATAAACTCATAATTGAATTAATCTTAACATCATTGTAAAGAATCATATAATTAATAATTGTGTAATTATTTGGTAGGAACGGAAACCAAGTCTCCGGAGAATGTCTCACGCTCATGCTCAGCAAATCCAAATGGGAGGCATGGCTCCTGTAGCTTGGATGGTCATTCTGGGAGATGGTCTTCATAATTTTGTAGATGGAATGTCAATTGGAGCTGGATTTACAAATAGTCTAGCAACTGGATTAAGTATAAGCATAGCAATTGCTTGTGAAGAATTCCCACATGAATTGGGTAAGATTTCAAAATTGTAATTGTAATATGGCAAGTCAGCATGGTTTAAATTAAGGAGCTCAGGGGCAGCATAATTATAACCCAAATTTCAACATCCTAAATAAATACTACTAAAAATTTCCCTTAGAAACAAAATTATGATCCACATACTCTACACATGTGTTTGTAGAACTGCAATAAGTATATAGAAAGCAGCAAGAAGACTATACACAAACTGAGAAATGCCTGGATTTCCACAAACATCATTTTTTTCTCTGGCGTAAAAACAAATTACAGAAATGAGTGTTACTATTTCACTTTGTGGCCCTCACTCCTTAAATTGTCCCTTTTTATTACAATTAATAAATGAGAAGAATAAAAATTATCTAATTTGTACACATATATTTTTTACAATTTGATATTATATTTTCAGGTGATTTTGCAATTCTGATAAATTCAGGAATGCCTGTAAAGAAAGCTCTCATGTACAACTTCCTCTCAGCTCTCACAGCAGTTGCTGGGCTGATTTTAGGGATTCTTTTAGGAGAATTAGAAGCCAGTACATACATTTTTGCTTTCTCAGGAGGTCTTTTCCTGTATATCTCTCTCACAGACTTGGTAGGTACATCCACATTTTCAATCACAATTAGGTCTAATTCATTGGAAAGTTCTAAGGAAATTAATTTTATTTCAGATGCCAGAACTGAACAGCATGATAGAGGAAGGCCTCAAGAAAAATAAGAAAACTTCCTTTCTAGTACTTTTCCAACAAAATTGTGGAATTATTTTTGGGTTTTGTCTACTTTATGTCATTTCGTCTAATCCAGTGACTGTTACCTAAAATGACTGACCAATCTTGCAGCCTACATACAACGAACGCTAATTAATGCTACCATCCCAAAGGAACAACCTATTCACAATTGTTCTTACTGATATTTGAATGTTGTGATGATTTTTATTTTTACAGTTTTAATATTCTCATATATACAAATGTTTATTCATGGGAACAAAATCATTCTTTAACTTTGTAAATATTAAAGAAATAACCAAAAGAATTAAATAATCAGCTTTGTTAAAATTTGTTTTCTTGGAGTCCATTTGGTAACCACTGAAAAATATAAATAAGAAATTCACAACTCACATTCAAATTACTTAATCATTAATTATCATTAAAATCATCATCAATAAAAAGTGTTTTAATAATACATATAATATCTTGTATTTTGTGGATGTTACATTTCATTAATGTTAGTTCTGCATGCATTTTATACCATGTGTTTCTCGCATCCCTTCAGTGCGTTCTCCACTTCTTCCTTCCACATACTTTTAAATGTCTTTTAAATGTATGTAAAACTGGATTCCAATTCCACAGCTTTTAAGGCCTTCGTTCTTCACCCGTTCTGCTGACCATACAACTTGAAAGTTTTCATTGCCAAATTGTTGATGTTTAAAATCAAATTACCACTTTTTCTCCTTCTTTAAAGCTTCATATAAATATAATTTAAATAAAGTTGAAGTTATGCTACACACTCACAGAAAGCCTAAAGCTTTATTTAAAGGAAATTGTTTGGAAAGTTTCTTCCAATTTTAAAACTTGGACTTAAATTTCTGCTGTGCAGGTCTTTGATATTTTTTAGTAAGTAGTAGACCAATATATTAATATCTTGTTTCATTATGTCCACCCAGAGTTTTTTAAATAGAAGTGTCATAGACTTTTTTAATATTATAAATACTATGTGATTTTAATAATTATAAGTGAGTTATTTGTTGATCATTTGCTTAGTTTTAAAAATACCACAAGGCCCAGGACATATTCATCCCCCTTTACAGCTGCTCATTTATTGACGTCACATCAGATTATTCAGGTCATATCAAGAAGGTCTCTTTTAGATGAAATTTCAAGAGTTATCCTTCCATATACCTGACCAATTACTATACAGTAATACCTCTATAGTTTCCACATTGTTTTTACCATATTTTTACTTTCCCATAAACAACAATAAACAGAACGTTATGTAATGTTTCAGGAAAAAGTGCCAATATTTTGACTTCAAAAAAAATTTTTTTTGTTCTACTGATATTAAAAAAAAAATTCTTTCACCTATCCGTAGTACAGCCCAAATCCACAGTTTGGGAACCCTTGATATCAAAAAAGAGATATTTTTAAAAACATCTGCCCATCTGTATCTATGCCTACCTATTTCTGAACTTCACCAGCACCAGGTCAGAGAATTTTACCACAATGGATTTTCCACAACCAATGTGGACGATATTGTGGTCTGAAAGTTCAAAAATATATTGCATTCCCTCCTTCAACTACATTATTCAATATTGAGATGTTTTCTTAAATAAATGTTTTTCAAAACTGGCTCTTTAAATATGTCATATACATGTTTTTTAAAACTATGATTAGTTTCCATGAAATTTTGCGTGAAATTTTGACAATTTAAAAGAAGTGCACATGATTCTTTTCCTCAAAAGAGCAAAGTTTGTTTAATAATAATACAGCGTAGGTCTCACTTTCAATGAAAGTTCTGGAATTTCAAAAACTGCAAACTTTCAAAAGTTTTTCGAACATGCCTTGATAACAGCCATAATGCCATAATCTTGAATACAGAAGCTAAAGATTTTTTAATGCAATTTATTCTTGAATTAAATCTTTGCATCATTTCATGTAACCTTTTTCCAAAATATTATTTTACATGTAATTTTGAACTCTCACACTTCCACATAAAGAAGTGTAGTGTTTTATGGGAAAGATTCTAGTTTCGTAAACCGTGGTGCCTAAGGACAAATCCCCAACCAGGTAAATATTTTTCCTTTATAGTTTTTTGTAAGAAAAACAAAACAATTGTTCTGGCCCCTGTTTTCAAAAATGCAGGGTGGTACAAATGAAAATCAGTAACATACATGTGCTAAAATACACAAAAACTCAGAAAACTACAGCACCCATCCCAAAATTCAAAGCTAATTATGGGATCTAAAAAAAATTCAAGCCTTTACAATAAAAAAATGCAGTTTTGGGATAGCATTTAGCAGAGGTAGTTTTAGCATTTTTTCTGAGAATTTTGAGTTTTGTATGTACATAAGAACGTATGATACCAATTTTACAAACCTGAATTTGAGCTTATAAGAATGTACATTGCATATTTAACTTTGTACAATCCTGAATTTTGGAATAGAAAAGGCCAGAATACTTATTTCCCTGAAGGCTAAAATTAGCCCTAGAATTTGGGATGAGTGTTGTATTTTTGTAATGTATTTGGATCTTGGGCATATTAGCCCATAATGTATCCTAGCAATTTTTCTAAATTTAAGAAAATAGGTTCTGGAATAATTTCTTCCTAAAACCTGAAATTAGCCTTATAGTTTGGGTAGGGTGTCGTATTATTCTGATGTTTTTGAGTTTTTCTGTATGTTAGTCCTTACGAACATATGTTAACTATTTTACTTTGATCAACCGTAATTTTTGTATAAAGTACTCTCTCTCTCTTCCTCTCCCCCCCTCCCTCTCACTCCTCTCTCCATTTCTCTACTTCTCTCTTCCACTCTCTCCTTCTCTCTCTTCCTCTCTCCCCCTATCTGTCCCTCACTCTCTTCCTCCCACTCAATCTCTTCCATCCTCTCACTTTTCCCTGTCCCTCTCCTCTCTCCCTCTCATTCCCCATCTATCCATTTCTCTCCCTATCTCTCTCCCTCCCTCTCTCCTCTCTCTTTCTCCCTATCTCTCCCTCCTGAGGGAGAGATTCTTTCTCCCTCTCTCCCGCTATTTCTCCTTTTCTCTCTACCTCCCTCTCCATTTCTCTCCCCCCTCTCTCCTTCTCTCTTTCTCGCTCTCCCCCTCCCTCCCTGTCTCTCCCTTCCACTTCCTCTCCCCTCTCTCGCCCTCTTTCTTCCTCCCTCTCTCCCTCGATCTCTCCTCTCTCTCCCTCCCTCTCTTTTTCCCTCATCAATACCCCTTTAATGTTTGCTGATTTTTCATTGACTACCAATAACGTGGTGTTTTTCTAGGTAGGCACTGCTAGCTTTAGAGTAAAGCTAGCCGCACCCACGATTTTTGGGAATCCAAGAGCCTAAAATTCAGGAATACATCACTTAATTAGCTTCAAATTGCCTTAATTTTGAATATGTTTTTTGCTACTTATAGTATTAGACAGCTATTAGCTATTTTTTATGTTAGAGATAACATTTTTTGAAAAGTCTCTGCAAGCATCTCTTACCTCACTCATCAACCACATAAGTTTTGCACGCAGAGAAACGATATGCGCAAATAAAGGTGGCCATGGCCATCACCTATGCAAGAGCAAAGTTTGCAGATAACCAGTATTGAAATCCACTCTGTTCTCACAGGCGCGGATCCACGGGGAGGGAGACGAGGAAAATTATCCCTCTGACATATTTCTGAAACTTAATTTGAACTTGTCACGACACTTTCAAGTAAACTATTTTTAGATAATCATTAAAATGAATAAAATCGCATTGCAGCATGATCTTCGCTACGACATGATGATCTAGCCTGCGACATTTTACAAAATTTGTAAAGACACGTTCGGCCAAAACATGTTTAATTTCTCCTTCCTAAAATTTGTCTATGGATCCGCCCCTGGTCCTCACAACAAAAGCACTAGACGATTTATCTCCAACGCTAAAACGGTATTGTAGTATTTGCCATATGCGTTTCGATCATACCATTGCCTATGTTCCATTCAAAGATTTGTAAACAGCAAACGCACTAATGACTGTTCAATGACGCCTCGATCAACTCATGGAAGAAAAGGAAAACGATCGTATCAGAATAATTTCATATTTATCAGTGTGATCATCAAAACTATTAGAAATCACCCGAAAAAAAGGAAGATCCTGAATAAGCAGCAGTACGAATCTTCATCTATAACAATTGGCCAAAAGGGGAATCTGTCCAACAATCTACGTCCGTTCTCAGAGCAGAAATAAGATATGACTCGCGAAAATGATATATTATATGATTTGTGAGTCGTTATCCCAAGAAAATTTGAAGCCTAGGACACTATACTTGGATAAAAACATTACGTCCGTTGACACTTGATCAGCTATGACACTGTCTTCCAATCGGGAGCGTGAACGTCATGATGTTTGTGGCAGAAAGCCGGCAAGGATCTATTAGAAAATAAATAATTTATTGTACCTGAATGTTTCAGCAGATTATCTCACTATTCAAAGTAGTTTATGTTTCGATTAGGTACCAGAAGAGACCGTTATGGACAACGAAACACAGTTCAACCCCTTACAAGAACTAAGAGCATTCAAGAAATTCCAACAAGGGTTTTACTTGACGAGAAGCCTGGGATGCCGTCAATCTAATGAACTGACCGGAGTTCTGGTCAAAATACCATCGAAAATAAGATAAAACATTCATTTTCTAACCAGGAAGCAACACTCTCACCTTAAGGCATAGATCGAGGAGCTGAAAACCCGTCACACCAATGGCGAAAACGATTTTGCAATTCTTTGGCGGAGTGCCCAAAATGGTATCACAGAGAAAATAAACGAATTAATGATACAGCTATAATCGTAGGGATGTTAACATGTAGTTTTTCCAAAATGTGCGTGGATTACGCACCAAACTTTTACAAATGTGGGTCAGTATTTTGACAAGCGCTGCTAATTGTTCTTACAAAAACATGGTTGAACGGAATTTTTTTACATGAGAAATTGCACAAACCTTATAACAGATTAAAAGGTAGATAGAAACCCTGTTACGAATCCATTGCTGAGATAAAGTAGTGTTCTGGTTGGTGTCTATAATGAAACTCAGAGTTCATCTAAATGACAGTCAACAGTACGTTTCGTTTATGATGGGATTCTATGAGCGTTGTGGTTGCGGCTGTCTCCATTCCACCCCTTTTTTCTACTGTTGTGCATGATTGTCATGCCGCTAAGGTGGCTCGTAATGTTGATCTTCAGACTGCTGATTAACCGTAGGACTATAATCTGTCAGGTGCATCATGTAACTGTGATTTGATTGAGTCCATATCCTCCATGCCGACGCCTGCAAGAGATCTCATGAACACTTCCCCTTGTAGAATTGCTACCACCTTAATGGCATCGTGAATAGAAATGGCTCTATTTTGGTTGCCAAATCCCGAAACATAAAAGGCAACCTTCGTAAGCTACGGTTTAATTTGCACACTATTTGTTTGTTTTCATAACCTTGTGGCTGCTTCATAAAAAATACTTCATCTTTTAAACTATTAAAAAGGGCGGACGACATACCACTTCCGTTGCATGGCAACACCCAGACGTACTCTCATTAGGGCCGGTCAAAAACGCCCACTGTTCCGTTCGTCCTCGGCGGCGAAATCAGGCGCGCAGATAATGCTGGTTCCGATATTGCCAGTTCCGACACTGGTATTATCGAGAACGCACAATACCGAAACTTGGCCTACTGGGGGATGCGACGACCTCGTCAAATGAATGTTGGAGATGCCACCGTTTATCGCTCATTCTCCAGGCAGTCAGGCGGCATTTGTGCGTTGAACAATACATAGGCAACCTAGTGGAACCTATAATTTTTGTAGAAAGCCTCAAAATATTTCGATAAACTAGCAAGTTCTTAATAATAAAACATTTCGATAATTTAAATGTTTGCTCTTTATTGCTTTCTTCTCTATTTAATTAAATTTATTATTAACAATTTTGACATTCGTTCTTCCAATTGACATAAAACATTGTCCCCTGTTTTTGTTACGTCGGAAAACCTGGTGACACTCTTCTTGGATGAGGTAATACTTCAGTGGCTTCAAGTCGTTCGTATTTAGCTTCTATATTTAGTAACTCATTAGCAACTCCAATAAAACCATCACCTCTTACAATATTTAACACATATGTATAATACGAGATCAAAAGTATCCGAACACGTCAAAAATCGTTTTATGGTGTGGTCGCGTTTCTCATGGAAGGGTCTTGCACCCCTTGTTTTGTGTGGCACTATTACGACACAGGCCTTCGTTGATGTTCTAAACACCTACTTGCTTCCCACTGTTGAAGAGCAATTCGAGGATGGAGTTCGCATCTTTGAACATGATCGAGCACCTGTTCATACTGCACGACGGCGTGATTCACATCACTGTGGCGGAGTGATTACACGACAATAACATATCTGTAATGGAGTGGCTATCTATTGAACACCTATCGAATACCTTTGCGATGTTCTGGAACGCCGATTTCGTGCCAAGCCTCGCCGACCTACATCGATACCTCTTCTCAGTGCATCACTACGTGAAGAATGGACCGCTATTCCCCAAGAAACCTTCCAGCACCTGATTGAAAGTATGCCTGCAAGAGTGGAAGCTGTCATCAAGGCTAAGAGTGGGCCAACACCCTATTGAATTCGAGTAGTACCGATGGAGGGCGCAACGAACTGGTAAGTAATATTCAGCCACGTGTCCGGATACTTTCGATCACATAATGTACTTTGGATATGTATTTAAATACATTTATACAAAGAATGTTGGCGAAGTATCTTAATTCCAAATTTAAAGTATTTTACCCAACCCTGAAATTAATAAATAAATGGTATTTGCTTAGTTGAAATACAAAATTTTATTAGCTGAAAATTCGTCCAACATGCACTTGTTTCATCATTTACACTCTTGTTCATTAATATGTAGATTCCATTAGTTAAATTATTTCTTACGGTCTCTGGTTACCGAGCTCATGTCACTTCTCTTAAATGAAACACCGAAACAACCAACAAATAGCGCAGAGTCGATCCGCCGAGACTGCCGATACTTGTGAGAACAGCCGAAACTGGAGCGGTTCCGAGAGTTCCAATCCTGGAGGGAGACCAAGGACCAAGGATTGGATTTCAAAGGCAGGTAAGAAGCGCGCGCGACCTCCGACTCTGTGAAAGCACAGCCAGCGAGACCGATCGATAACAGAATGGGTTTTGCCTGGCTCTAGCTCTCGTGGTCTCAAATCTGGCCACAGGACTGCAGCTATCTGTGTAATCTATTCCTGGGCGCTGGCTATACGCCTTCGCAACCCATCTAGCATTTTAGCGCATTACTTCATTACACTCGTTCAACTTGGTCGTAAATACTCACCAGTTGTCTTGCTCCTTTCTGATATGTTGACTAGGTCCCAGGTGTCATTCTTGTGATGAGCTTCAATTTCTTCGTCCCTAGCAGCTTTCCATTGGTCTACATTCTCAGCCGCCATATCTTCATTGGTTGGTGGATCCTTCAGTAACATCACCCTCTGTTGTTGACGCTCGGTTGAGCTGTCTATAACGTACTGGCTTTCTAAATACATCTCTGGGTCTCAGCACTCTCGTCTCCGCAACAGTATTTCTTTCACTCGCATAGACATTTGGGTGAGGCTGGTTACACTGTGCAGCACGTCGTCCTTGAATTTAATATTGCGGCACACTACAACAGAATGCTTCTCAGGAAAATATACTTTATAACCACCGTCATCGTATCCGATTACATATCCTCTTTCAGACTTTGCAGCGGAACTTTTTGCGTTTTTTGTGAGTGAATCCTGGCAAAACACACTGTACCAATAATTTTCACATGTGTGAACTCACTTTCCTTCCTTAAAACAGTTCAATAGGTGATTTCTTGCAACTTTGGATGGAGCAGTCCTATTTAGTATATGGGTTACTGCGGGTACTGCCTCTCCCCACAT